TGAAAATATAGGGCTGGGATCTGTTCTGCTTTGTTAAGACCCAATTAAAAAATTAAAACAAGCTTCTATCAACCAAAAAGTATGTTCTTCTTTGAGTTAATCTTCAGCTGTGACACACATTAAAACCAAGCAGAGGTAAATCCTGAAAGTAAAGAACAGCCTGGTATCAGCTGTTTTTCACCCTGAGCTATTGGAGCTTATCAAAGCAGCTCAGGTTTCTTGATAAAAAGAAATAAAACTAATTAAGTCAGTCTAATTTAAGTCTGACTAATTTTTGTTCTGCGTTTTGTTCCCAATTCATCAAGTTTAAATGTGAGACTCGTTCAGAGGAGCTCCAGTTTTTTAAATACAGGTTTATATTATGCTTTTAAATTATTTATTTAGATTGATTACTAACTTCCAGGCAAAATAAGTTTTTCTTTTTATTTTAGATGGAAACAATACAGTGATAAAAATGTAATGCTCAATTTAAAAGATTAAGTAAAATGGTCTTTATTTTATTTAGTTATCGTACGTTCCACTTGTGGACAATCATCATTACTTTTTACTGTCGGGAACTTATGGTAAGACAAAATGCCCAAAGGGGTACACAAGTCAAAAAAGGTTGGGAAACACTGAGTTGGACTATTGTTATCAGCAGAGTTATTTATCACCAAACAAATGTCAGGATGGGGTTGAGGCTTGTGGACCCAAATGCAGAGGCAGGGAGAAAGAGGTAAGTTGACAGATCACTGATGCAGGTATCCAAAAATCAATCATGAAAACAAAGACAAACAAACCAGAAACCAAGGAAACATCTGGGGGGAACAATCACGGGGTAATGTTCTAGTACAACATTATTGTATCTAATAACTATGCAAACACCTAACACTAAAGAAAAAAGCACAAGGTAAATGAAAGGCTAAAAAAAAGTTGGAAAAAAAAGTAGTCTAAGAGTTTGTTAAAGTTCTGTTCAAGTCTCTAAGGAATGTTGGGTGGTTTAATGCATTTAAGTTGTCCTTTAAAATCGCAGCAGATAAATATAAATAACTGATGCATAGATCTTAAATGCAATCAAAACAGGGAATATTTATCTGTTTTACTGTGAATAAAGAACAATGAATCAGAAATGCATTAAAATCTAGCAGCACTGGAGAAAAATTAGTTAACTCAGATGGACCCAGAAAGCCAGGCTATGAGGCAGGGCTGAGCCAGGACAAAAGGTTTGTTTGTCCTAATGGATATCACCACTTATACTCATGACTTAATATGAGGTAGCTTGAAGCTACCAATGATAGCTAATCAAACCTTAAAACATTAACTCATTAGACAAAGGGAAAATTAACATAGACAAGAACACACGCTCAACATACTTTTAGTATTAGAAACATTACAGATATGACACAGAGTACAACCACAGGATCTTCACATGCAACAATTTGATCGCATGGTGCACATGCTTATTATGACCTGATTATATTATGTTGATGTAAACAATAATACTGCACTTGACACAACTTAAAATTTTTGCCCTGTTCCAAATGATTTTCTGAACATTTCAGTTGATGAACCAAACTAATATATTGACATTGGACCAACCTAAAATACTTACTTTTAACTAAATTAACAAGAATTAATGTTTGTATAGTAATTCAAACATAACCAAATTAGATTTTTCACATATTATTTGACTTTACTTCAAAAGTAATTTCCATTTCCCATCTTACAAACTCTATACACCCTGGACAGGTTGCCAATCCATCCCAGCGCAATACAACCATTGACACACAAACTCACACCTAAGGATAATTTAGACAACCTGCAAACTTAATTCAGAAAGATTCTGGACTGGGATTTTAACTCACAACTTTCTTGCTGCAAGGCAGCAGTGCTAGCCAATGCACCACTATGTGAAGGTCAGAGTCCTGGACTTCATCACGTGCATGTAAAGCGCATTTCACATTTGACTCAAACAAAAACAAAAAATACCTGCAGGCCATGAATAAATATATACATATTGAGAGAAATCAAAAACTTTGTTTTGGGTCTTTTCTAAATGTATTTAGTTCAAGTTAAATCAAACTTGATGTCACAAACCCCCCCCCAAAAAATGAGTTACACAATCAAATCGATACTTTTATCTAGTTTAGAGTGAAAAGCATTAGTTTAAATGAACAGTTACATGTTACAATTTTTTCAGTGCAGCTGTATCTTGGTCTGTCTGCCTGTGCAATAATTCAGGCTGGTTTCCTCTAATGGAAAATCCTAAAAAGCAACAAAAAAAAACACAACAAACTAAATTGCCTGAGTTGTTACTAACGGAAAAGGGGCGCGAGTCTTTGGGGGAAATGTTATCTTGCTGATATCATCTCCTTATTTTTTATTAGAATGTATTAACAATTCAAAGAAGAAGCTCGTTGTGAGGGAAGCAGGAAAACTTTGATGGTCACCTCATAAGGTTAATTGAGGAAAATGTTGTCAATGAGTTGATTTAGTACCTATGAAAATGAAGGAATGGGTTGGTAAAACATTGAGTTAAAATCAGAGTCATACATTGCAAGGGCTTAATGTGACCAGGGGATGAGGAAAAAGCAATAAGGCTGTAAGTAATTGTATGTTGAATTTAACCCAACAAAATAAAAGGAGTTTAAAAAACTGGAAACTGGTCTCGCTGGCAAGACTCACAAAACTTCTTCCAGGTGGTGAGTGTTCTCACTCCAGGACATGAAAGAAGCAAACACGAAACACAACGGGGTGATTGGGGTGGATACAAAATTCCCAACCCTTGAATTTAAAAGTATTGACAGCTGCTATACAGATTTCAAGAACTTAAAAAATTACTACAAATTGATATTTTCCTGGCTGGTGTTTTAAAAAAGATCTGGGAAAAGAATATAGAAATCTCCTATCCTAGGAACTACTAGCAATAAAAATTTTGTAATTGTGATGTGTAATTGTGTAAGTTGTATGTGTAAAAATAGGTATGAATATATTCTTTAATGAAAAAAAATTACTTTAAATGCAGATTTCAGTAACTTTTTCCAGTAAAACAGATTTTGCACCAGCTCTAATCTTTACAGATATTTTCAAATTGACAAAACTGATTAATAAAGTACTGAACATCAATAGGAGTCTTGAATATCTATGCAATTAATATTTATAATATAATTATAAAACACTGTCTATTCATTAGTAGACTTTAAAAGGGCATGTCAGTAAGTCATAACTCATAATAACTTTCATTCATGAAAAGCTTAGCAACATTGACACTTTAAGCTGTTGTAAAGAGCTAAGCATTACCACTTCAGTCTAGCCTAAAATCACATGCTAATGAGGATAAAGCATTTTTTCCTTGAAATTAAGGGAGGAGAAGTATTATGCATAGCTGGGATCTAAACAGCATCTACAGCTTTTCAGAAACTGACTACAAAAATGTTTGAGCAATACCCCCTTTTGTTTGAGAGGTTGCCTTAAAACATGGACTCTCATCAAAAAATTAAATAGAATGTATTTTGAATTCAAGTCTTTCCACTCTGTCTAACATTAAAATTACATAAAAAAATACAAAACACTTTTCTAACTAACTGCTTAGGAGTTTTTCATATATTTTCACATTCCAGGAATTTTTAGGATTTCACTTGGCTAATATACACACAAAATAGGGTTGTGACGCTGATTTAATTCAGTATGAGAAAAACTGCAATACACCTTCAGCGTAGCTGTAATTTAAATACTACACTGGTTCTATCCTTAATTTCCAATTCCCAACTAATCTAGCTAAGCAAGCTACCAGAGAGGTCTAACAGTACAGAGCTCTGCTGCTCTGATGCAGATTTTAAAAAGTATCTTGAAACTTAAGTTTGTGGAAATATTAAAGGTATATAAATGCTTTTACAATCCCCTACACCAGTTACTGACTTAGCCAGTGGAGCAAAGCGCTGGAGGATATGTTGCTTTACAGAAACAAGCCCCTTCAACAAAGCCCCAGGAAATATAGAAATTACTAGGTTTATAGTAGAACAGGAGCCCAGGGAAAGTGAAATTACCCAATGTGTATGGAAATGCTACTTGGGCATTGAAAAGCCCCTCCTCTGGGTTCTCAACAGGCTGAGGTTTATGAACAGCAATGAAAAAGCAGGCTACTAATAAGCATTAATTTCTATGGTCCAGTTCTATATGAGTCGATGGTGGATTCTACATAGTGGTCAGGTGTAGTTTTGTAGTATTCCTCTTTTTGAAACTGTAGTTTTTTTTTTACAACCTGATATTTATTCTTTATGTGTTAGCATTATCACGTTTGCACTGCATTGATGTTTGCAGCCCTTTTCTACGGCTAATTTCTGCGATATTAGCATTTGTTGTTTGTGAGTTGGTCTAATTTTTTTGTGTGGTAGGTCATTCTGCATTTGCAATACTTTTGCACCCCTCAGCTACCACAATGTTATTCAATAATGACTTTCTTATTGTCACTCGTGCAACAATTTCAAATTTCTGCAGAAATCTGAATAATGTTATCAGATTTTCAGATAAACCTCTCTCTCTTGGTAGGTTTAACTTTTTTGCATTCTTTAAATTCTTAAATGATCTCCTGTTTGATGTGTTCCTTCATGATGCTATTTTTACTCTTTCACTCTCTTACAAACCTTTAAAGGGTTGGAAGAACAATGGTATTGATGCTGATACTAGATAATATAATTCAGCCCCAAATACAGATTTGGGGCAGAATTAATTTACACATCCCTCTTTTCAGATTATTATTATTATAATTTATGTTTTAAATGTGTTCAGCCACATGTATCCTTTTACATATAACTAATGGCATTATGCTGCTTTATATTGATCTCTCAATACACTACCAATTAAATGATTTAAATATTGTTGATTGTATGAATACTTTTGAAAGTCACACTAGGCTTTGTTTGATATTTATACGTCCAGTACATATGTATAATGAAATATACTATACTATACTATTTTTACTACGGTAATAATAATTTAAAAAATTTAACTAATTGTCCGATTTTTTTTTTCTTTTACCCGAGAATGGATAGCGCTGGAGCACAATTTTGTTCAGGCGGGAGTTGGTCGCCTACAGTGACGTAATTCAGGAGCACCAACAGAATCATGGCGGCCACCGGCAACAAATCAGTTCTCTTCGTTTGTCTGGGTAAGAGACGGCTTTTACCATACCTTCAGCAACTGTTTTTTAATTAAACACCACGTGTAGAATAAGTACACATTTTTTACTCTCAGTTATCCCCTTGTTATTTTCTTTATTCAGGTTTCATCGTATTTTTTAGCTAGCTTGCCTCTCAGGTGCTAAAACTTCAGGGCCATACGCCAACAAAATCAGGACTTTAACTCACATTAAAAACATTTTTTCACGTTTTCGAGCATAGATTTGTCCGATGTATCGGAAAGAAAAGTAACTCGCATGTGGGGAAATTTTCTCGCATACAGTGCAGTTTCGGACAAATTTGGGCTAGTTTGACAAGAACAGGTGGATCAATAGTGGCTGTGATCCAGTTATTGGAAGCCCCGCCTCTTTGCATGGTTGTACTCAACGCCCAGGAACTAGAAATGCAGATCTAGAGTGCCTCCCTCGTTAATGGTCTACCACATCAGGTCTAAATCTCTATAATGCAATTATGCCATATTTATTTGTTTTACTGTAGATTGTAGATAACCTTTGACATTTATTACATATAGATTATTTTTTCACCTGGGATTTTATGCCATCTTTTAGATTTATATATATATAAAAAAAACAATGTACAAAAGTCGTTCAAAAAGTAATGCCCCTGACTCACTTCCAGATGTTTGATCCAGCTGAAATTTAGCATGTGAGGTTATTTAACTCTCTATAGATTAAGTAGCAAATTACAGCTCTGAACTATGTGTGGTTTCTGACTTAAAGGGGTTTGAACTGAGTAAAGTCTGAAATGGAGCCTGTTGAGTGTCGAGCAGTGATCCGGTTTTTCTATCTGAAAGGACTCACACCACGGGAGACTTTTGATAAAATTAAAGTAACTCATGGTGATGATGCCCATTATATGACCTTGCAAAATGTTTTACAAGGTTATATTATGGGACATTATCACTATAAGTTACTTTCATTTCATCAAAGGTCTCCTGTTGTGTGCGTCCTTTCAAATGCAAAAACACAAACTAGACTCAGTTTGAACACCTGTAAATCAGAAACCACAATGAGTTCAGAGTTGTAATTTGCTATTTAACCTATAGAGATTTAAATAATTTCAGGTCGATCAAACATCTGGAAGTGGGTCAGGGGTATTACTTATTGAACACCCCTTGTATGTGTTAAAAGTAACTGGAGTGCTCTACTCTAGTCGGATCGAATAATTTCACTTCTATCTAAACCTAACAAGTTTAATTGGATTACATATGATCATATTTCCTTGAAAGTTGAACGTAAAACAAGCCTAAAGTCGTAGGGAAATCATATTTAAATGTCAAATAATTCTGGCTTAAACATAGGGATTAATGTGCTGCTGATGCACCTGAAATTCCCTAATGTGTTACAATAAACGGGAGTCCTAGTTTGTTCAAAATGAGTGTAAACCGATGAATTGTTTTTTTTTCTTTTTTTAAAAGTCTTTATGAAGGTCATTCGGTGGGTGGGGCGGCGCCCTAGTGTCCTCTATTGGCCAGCCGCCACTGGGGTATACAACTTGGCTTTATCACATCATTAGGCTTTGCCCAGCGTAGGGGGGTCTAGGGGTATCCTCCGCCAGAAATTTTTCACATTTATACACTCTGAAACTCTATTTCCTGTGTTTTGAGGTGTAATACAGCAAACATTTTTTGTCTTTGTTATGACACTACTTTTTTCCTGATTATGAGAAGTATGTGTGCTTGACCAGAGGTGGAAATTTCATAAGGAAGGCATGAGATCATTTTCAGGTACAATATTAAATTTCATAGGTTTATTCAAACAATCAGAAAGTGTAATGCTATGTTTACACCCCATGCGATTTAAGCATCAAAAAAGCGCCTGCTGTTTCATTTTTGATGCATGTGCACATTAAGGTCAGACACACCTCAAGAACATCTTTGATGCTTCGAAGCACATCCAGTAAACTGAACAGATGATTCTGCTCCTCTTGTGTTCAATGCCAGAGAGCGGTTTTTCTATATTTGCTGTGATCAGTGGGTAAAAAGAAGTTTTAATATATTTTTATGTGTGAAAGTCCACCTCAAAACATATTCTGTGCAGTCAGTTCATCAAGAATACAATCCTGCCCCAATATATTATTTCCCTGTCAGAGGCGTGCAGACCCCAGCATACCGGTTGGGGTGTAAATCACATCCATCATGGCGATTTGATTCAGTATCGATTTCCTGACCTAACGATTCGATTATATTCGATACTCAAGAATACACCACGATACGATTAATCGGTAAATTTTTTTATTTTTTTATTTTTTTACACCTTACAGGCTAAACACAGTTTCAAGTTTAAAATAAATCAATGAAAGTTGTAATATCGTTATGCTTTTTTTTTTTTTTTTAGAAACAACAGCAAATAACAGAAGTAGAAAAGTTGCATCAAAAAATACTGCAAAAATACTGCACAAGATCAGTGCAAAGAGTGCAATGCAATACCTCGACTCCAGACGTCCCCGCCCCCTCCACAGACGCTCCGTTGCTCTTCTCCCAAATTGTAGCTGGCCGCAGACAGGAGGCCGGCTTGTTTTGTGAAGTTTGACCTGCTAGAAGAGCGCAGGGACCCTTTTTCTACCTGGATCTCCGCCCTTTTTGGCCCTCATGTCCCTCCGTCTTCGGACTAAACTCGCCCCCACTTCCTCTTCGTCTGGGCCGTATCTAGACCCACAGAGTGTAGCACAGACCACGCTTCAATACTGAGCATAATTTAAAAATGTCTGTGTCAAGCTCACTGCAACACACTGCTGTAAGAGTATAACCAGGAAGTGAGGTTGGAGGGCAAAATAGGTTTAGCGCCACCGCAGCATGGGAGGGAGAATTACGCCCAGGAGCAAATGGATAAAAATAGACCGGAGGGAAAAAAACATGAATCGATTCTCTTGCGGACATGTCGATGCATCGGATCGTCGGCTGTTGGATCGTTGCATCGATACAAAACGATTGTTATTTACACCCCTACATACCGGCGGTGCACTGTCACTGGGAATCCCCCAGCAGCAGCTGCCTCAGGCCCTGTCGCCTTTTTAGGATTTTCCCCTACTGATTTGTGGCGGTTGGAAGGTGACGTTAGCATTTTTCAGGTACATGGTAAAAACTGCAGGTTCCAAAATAATAAAAGCGAACACATTTTCAACATTTTAAGTTAATCTAGGCATTAATAAACAGTTTCAGTGGAGTGATCATAGTGATCTGCATCAGGAGCGCCGTCCGTCTCCCTGCCAGCTCGCAGATCAGCTTCTCGGATTGGTTGATGTGGCACGTCAAGCAACAAAAATTACATTTTTCCATCTCCAGCATCTGCTGCTTGTGTATTTTTGAACATTTAAGCGAAGTGTCTGGGGGGGTAAGTAGGGTGTACCAAAGCTGTACATTCCAAAAATAGGGTGTACAATTTGTAATTTTTTAAATAAAGACCATACACAATGTACGCCTGAACACTAAAAGCCTGCCCGATAAATGGTTGTGGTCATGGTAGGATTTGGAGATCATCCTGGGATTGTCCAATTGGAGACGTACAGGTGCTGGTCATAAAATTAGAATATCATGAAAAAGTAGATTGATTTCAGTAATTCCATTTAAAAAGTGAAACTTGTATATTATATTCATACATTACATACAAACTCATATATTTCAGATGTTTATTTTGTTTAATTTTGATGATTACAAATGACAACAAATGAAAATCTCAAATTCATCATATCAGAAAATTAGAATATTGTGAAAAGGTTCAAAATTGATGGCCCCTGGTGCCACACTCTAATCAGCTAATTAACTCAAACCACCTGCAAAAGCCTTTAAATGGTCTTTCAGTCTAGTTCTATAGGCTACACAATCATGGGGAAGACTGCTGACTTGACAGTTGTCCAAAAGACGACCATCGACACCTTGCACAAGGAGGGCAAGACACAAAAGGTCATCGCTAAAGAGGCTGGCTGTTCACAGAGCTCAGTGTCCAAGCACATTAATAGAGAGGCGAAGGGAAGGAAAAGATGTGGTCGAAAAAAGTGTACAAGCAAGAGAGATAACCGCACCCTGGAGAGGAATGTGAAACAAAACCCATTCAAAAATGTGGGGGAGATTCACAAAGAGTGGACTGCAGCTGGAGTGAGTGCTTCAAGAACCACCACACACAGACGTATGAAAGACATGGGTTTCTGCTGTCGCATTCCTTGTGTCAAGCCACTCTTGAACCACAGACAGCGTCAGAAGCGTCTTGCCTGGGCTAAAGAGAAACAGGACTGGACTGCTGGTGAGTGGTCCAAAGTCATGTTCTCTGATGAAAGTAAATTTTGCATTTCCTTTGGAAATCAAGGTCCCAGAGTCTGGAGGAAAAGAAGAGAGGCACTTCATCCACGTTGCTTGAAGTCCAGTGTAAAGTTTCCACAGTCAGTGATGGTTTGGGGTGCCATGTCATCTGCTGGTGTTGGTCCATTGTGTTTTCTGAGGTCCAGGGTCAACGCAGCCACATACCAGGAAGTTTTAGAGCACTTCATGCTTCCTGCAGCTGACCAACTTTTTGGAGATGCAGATTTCATTTTCCAACAGGACTTGGCACCTGCACACAGTGCCAAAGCTACCAGTACCTGGTTGAAGGACCATGGTATCCCTGTTCTTAATTGGCCAGCAAACTCTCCTGACCTTAACCCCATAGAAAATCTATGGGGTATTGTGAAGAAGAAGATGCAATACACCAGACCCAACAATTCAGAAGAGCTAAAAGCCACTATTAGAGCAACCTGGGCTATCATAACACCTGAGCAGTGCCACAGACTGATCGACTCCATGCCACGCCGCATTGCTGCAGTAATACAGGCCAAAGGAGGCCCAACTAAATACTGAGTGCTGTACATGCTCATACTTTTCATGTTCATACTTTTCAGTTGGCCAACATTTCTATAAATCCTTTGTTTTTATTGGTCTTCAGTAATATTCTAATTTTCTGATATGATGAATTTGAGATTTTCATTTGTTGTCATTTGTAATCATCAAAATTAAACAAAATAAACATCTGAAATATATGAGTTTGTATGTAATGTATGAATATAATATACAAGTTTCACTTTTTAAATGGAATTACTGAAATCAATCTACTTTTTCATGATATTCTAATTTTATGACCAGCACCTGTAATTGTAGAAGAGGGCAGCAAAATATGTATAGTTTTAAAATCTTATGCCATCTGTTTCCGTGCTTTGGAAGAATTTAACTTGTAACTCATTTAGTGTATGGATTTAATTCATCTGGATCTCGCATACGATTTTTGTTGTTCTATTTTGTTTGCTTTATCAAAGCGTCGATCCAATAACGGTTTAATCAACAAGGGATACTGGCATTATACTTTTCAAACAGTTTATTTGTTTTTAATCATCCCAATAATATGTGTTGTGGTTTTCAACAGGGAACATTTGCAGGTCACCCATTGCTGAAGCCGTGTTTAGGAAGATGGCAACTGATACTGGAGTGGTTGATCAGGTAAAATGATCTGTATTCACTGAAACATTACAGAATATACATCTTAGCAAACTACTAAGAATATATTGTTTTAAATTCTGTTTCTTTTTTTATGAAGGCTATAATTGCTATATTCAAACCATATGTAGCTTTTTTATATTTTGAAGAATCTCTAACTGTTGGCAAGTTACTTTTATTTTGCTAAAAAAAAGAAAGAAAGAAAGCTTTAAGCGGCTCTAGTCTAATTTAAAACATTTACAGAAAGGCTGCCTGGTCTGGAAGTTAATAAAAAAATAACTGATATAAGTCCTTTGGTAAACACTGTATTGTGTATAATTATATTTTTTATTTGATCACACAGCAGATGATCTGACAATTCTGGTATTAGCAATTAAAAGGTTTGGGATTTATATAATTTAAATTGAATAAGTTTAAGGCTACAAATTAAGATGATTATCTGTAATCCCTATACTATTTAAAACACTTTAAATACTTGACCACTTTTTGTTTAGCAGTATGACACTTCTGATATGTTGTTGTTTTTCATGCCCTGCTATTCCTAGTGGAGGATAGACAGTGCTGCCACCTCTACCTATGAGATAGGGAACCCTCCAGACCACCGCGGTCAAGCCTGCATGAAGAGGCACGGCGTGCCCATGAGGCACGTGGCCAAGCAGGTACGACCACGCTCTTTACACGTAGCAGTAGCTAGCGGCCCCTTTCTGTGCTCTGTTCTTGCAGTGGGTCATAGACAGTGGCGCCACATCTGACTGGAATACAGGCAGCTTACCGGATAACCGCGGTCTGGCTTGTCTCAGGAAGTATGGCATTGAGACAAGCCATAAGGCTCGACAGGTACACCTCGACGATCCATGGCTACCCTTACCTCATCAGTGAGATTTTGTAATAATCTTCTGCTGATAGTGCATCATTTGACTATTAGAGGTCATTTTGGATCCAGAGCTGTCTGAGAATGTGTCAATAGAAATACAGGTGTTTGATAAAAGTTTACTGATTTTTGTCTTCTTAAAAATTATTTATTTATTCGTTCTTTTTGTTTTTGTTAATGCAGAAAAACTATGGAATATGTACAGTGCTGGGAAAAAATATAATTTTCCTCATGCATTGCCTCTCTTTTAGCTCTTTTCTTCCTTAGAATTAAATATCAGAGAGAGAGAACCAGTATAGATAGAAAAAAAGAGAAATATAAATAGGGGAAACAAAAACACTGCCTGCATTATAGAGATTTGATCAGCCAAGTTTTGCTGTCTTACAGCATATATGTTATGCTAAAATATATATATATAAAAAAAAAAAGCACAACATACTAATCAAAAGAAAAGAAACAAGGAATATCAGTGGAGAAACTGTTCCAAAGGTCTTACTATGGCTTTGAGAGTCCAGTGAACATCTGTAAGAACTATTTCTAGCTGGATGAAAGCTTAAAACATTCAAACTTCAATACTTTGCTGACAAAAATTAGTCCAAGATTGCATCAGCTACTCATCCATGAGGTCAGAAAGAACCCTGAACATCTAAAACACTATAGGCCTCATATGCCCAAGTTAAACCTGCTGTAGGAAAGAAAGTGAGGGGAAATGGCACATAGGGCCTAAAGAGTTTTGGGAACATATCCCGATGTTTAATGCTAAACCTTTTATAAAGATCTTTAATCTTATTGTCTATCTAATATAACACTAACAGAGTTTATAAAAAAAAAAAAAAGAAAATCATAGCAATAGCCAAATGTGGTGGAGGAGTGATGGTTTGGGGCTGCTCTGCTGCTTCATGACCCGGATGACTTGTCACAGTTGATGGAACCATGGATTCTGCTCTCTAGCAGAAAATCCTGGTGAATTTGTGACCTTAATCTCCGTTGGTATGCAGCAGGACAATGATCCAAAACACACCAGCAAGCCTGAATCTGAATGGTTAAAAAAAATTTATCGAAAAAAAAAAAATTTATTTTTTTGGGTGGCCTAAAAAAAAAAAAAGGTCCCATCTCGGATCCAATTGGCATCTTTTGCTGTAACCTTAAACAGACCGTTTCTTATTGTAAAATCTTCACTGTGGCAGAACTTAAAATAATCATTACTTGTTAACCAATATGTTGGGCAGTTGTTTTTATGATTAGCGTTAGATGGGCATTACTTTTCCAAATAAACTGAGTTTATAAAAAAAAAAGAAAAATCACTAATGTAATTTAATTTATGAAACATTTGGCCAACAGGTGTGTGTAATAGTAAAATTAGTTTCGAAGTGTGACAATATTGCAAAAAAAAACAAGAATAATACCTTAAGGGTTTTTACTGCATTTTAAAAAAAATAAAAGTTTCATTATTTTAATTCTTATAGTGGCGGAAAAGAAATCCGATATGCTGAAGCCCTATTTTTTGGATTTTAGTTCATTTTTATTTATTCTGAAAATATTTGACTCCAGAACAAAGAATCCTGTTCTGTTTTTTGATATGTACCCATTTTTAGTGTTAAAGTTACAACTCAAATCGGCCCGTCTCCTGTACGACTAAAATTCAGTTTTAAATGATCCTAGTTGTAGTGCCAGAAATCACTCTGAGATATTTGCTTATCTTGGGACTTAAAGCTGTTTGTGACGCTGTCTCATCCTGAGCGTGGCTCCTAGTCCCCCATCACCTTCTAACACCTTTTTTCCCCTCCTCCGTCGTGAGACATCTTAGGTGTCTCACCCTTTTTTCTAAGATCTGCTGTCTCCTCGCGTTGTCTCACAATAAACCCATTCTGTCAGGCTAACATGTAATCTCCTTAAATCAGAAAGCTAGACCTCTGGCTTAAACTCAACCAAATCCACACAATGTGCTCTGACAAGCTTTTGCGTTTTCCTTTATCAGTCTTTTTTTTTCTTCATTTCACTTTTGCTCCCACCATCCCGCTTTGCTGAACTTCTGGTACAGCTTGTCTCTAAGCAAATTGCCCAGTTGGGATTACGCCTGGAGACCATTGCATCCCTAAATACACGAGAGTGTTTGTTTAGTAAAACAAGCATTCTCAGATGATATCTTTAGCAAGTAATGTGGAAAGTTTTTCTCGTATCGAGGAACTGCCAGCAAGACGTAGGATTTAGGAGAGCTAAATTTGTGATTCTATCCTCAGTGATATGTTATCATTGTGTCAACATTTTAGGAATGATCATCTTCAGCCAAAATACCGCAATCCCCATGTAATCACATTCATTTAGCCTATCATCTCTAAAGTCTCTTTTTTTTTGTTTTGCACAAACATGTCTTCCTGCTGCCATTATCGAATATGTTTTTTGATCAGATATTGCTCTTTTTCTTCATACTACTGATTACTAAGAGTTAGTACTATGCAATGGCGGAAAGGGAAGATTAATACGGTAATTAAAAATATTTTTTTTAGCGAATAAAATGTTTTGTTACCTCTGGTCAAAATGGCTTTAATGTAGTATTAAAACATAAACTTTGAAAATTAACTTATTGTATAATAGTTTGCAGGATGTTTTAGATCTGCCACAGGCAGAGGCTCATTTATTTGTTTATTTATTTGCTCCAGTTCTCAGCACTTACCAAACACGTCTGCATAATATCAGGGAAGAATCTTAATAACACTACTGTGGCTTATTATTTGATGACAAAAATAAACTATAATACACATTTTCCACATTCTTTGCTGTATTGTACAATACTTAGATTTCTTTGAATATTTTTAGAATCATGGCCACTAAAACTATTTAAGCAGTGTGGGGCATTAATGATGTGTTATTACAGAATGCTCTGTACTTGAACCTTGATGTCCTACGAAAAAATGGGTCTAACTAGGACATCACAGGTGCGAGTTATTTTATTATACAACTCTACAGCCACCTATATTTGGAAGGATTGCAAGGGCAGTAGATAGAAATGCATAGTAGAACAAAATACAATCAACTTTCTTTGATTTTTGTCTTCTCCATTTATTCCATCTCAGTCCCAAATCTAACCAATGACTCTGGATAACTTGCAAATGGGAATGTTCAACAATTTGTCTCTTTGTGTGCTCCAAACTTGTAGATTAGCCAATTTATGTAAAGAAAAGAATGTAAATCCCTTTATTATCCCATTGGGAAATTCGCACTCTGCATTTTGACCCATCCAAGCAGTGTGCTGCCATTGTGTGGTGCCTGGGGAGCAATCAGGGGTTAAGGGTTTTGAACCCAGAGTTCAGGCTGTCGGGATCAAACCGGATACTTGCAACCTTCTCAGAGAACAAGCGCACTGCTCTAACCCACTAGGCCAAAACTCCCCCTTCAATGTAGTTTAAAAAACATTTAACTGGATTAAATGGTTATTTTTTCCTAAGGATTTGAACAAATCTCCAATAAATGTTATGATCCAACCCATTGTAAATACATTATCAATGAGAAAAGGATAGAGCGATAGAGTAAAGTTATTACCCTCCATTCCAGTGAGACCAGCTACTGAGATACCTCTTGGTATCCTGAAATGCTTCTTAGGCCCTATTTTGCTGTTGCAACCATGAGATGTGAAAGGTTTTATTTATTTTATTATATATTTTGTTGCCTAATGTTGAGGTCCTAAGTCCACATTTTGACAGAGGGAGCAGATTTTTTTCCAAATGTTCAGGGTTGGATTCATGGCAATTATAATAGTTTTTATATCCTCAGCAATAGTTCAGAAATATTAAACTAATGGGGTTAAATCTTTGAAGGCAAAACTGAGCTATTGTGGATTAAGACTTTTCTTGCACAATGGAAAGACCTCTGGATAGATGGATCAATGGTGTTTTTTTTTTTTTTTAAAGGGAGGACCACTCTGGTGAATCAGATGTGTAACTCTTATAAAGGCTAATTTTATTAGATATTAAAGAGCATTGTGTTTATTGTTTTGCCTGAGAAGAGCACACATTATTTTTTATTATAGGATTTAAAAAAAGGTTCCATTAACTTGAGGAGTAATAAATTATGACGTTGACTCTGGAACCATCCTGAAACAAGAAATGTTTCACGAACTTGTACTTTTCTAATAACTTTAAATTTATTTCTTTTAAAAAGCAGGTTATTTTTACGAACAGCACCGTCCCATCGCCACATATCTCCACATAGCTTGTCTAAGACTTTACCCTAAGTTTTTTTTTTTGTTTTTTTTATCTGAGTTTAAACATTGTTTATCGCTCCACTCACTCCTTATTTTCGATAGGACCCTCCCTTCTCATTCTAAGCTATGTTTTTTCCATTAAATCAATCCAGAATCCCTATCAGGCTTGTAAAGAATTTTTTTTATTTTTTATGGAAGTTAAGCACCTTTCATTTAAACTGTAATGGTTAGTCTGTGCGTGTTGAGCTCTTTGTTTCTAATACCACATTGTGTGAATAAGGGGAGAGAATATGAACTCACTTGTTACATAAATGATAGTATCTGTCTGCAGAGATTTTTTCTCCTGTTTTCCTTTTGCTTTTCAAACATGTTTTTTTTTTCTGTGCCATTAAAATGTCTTAAAAGATCAATCACTTGAAATCCATGTTGTGCTTTGAGAACTATTTACCTCTTTTTTCTCCCGTTTTTATTTGTTAGATCGTCAAACTGATTTTTATATACCTTTAAGATAAATCAAACAATTCAAATTGACCCTTTGTGAATAAATAATTAACCTCCCTCATGTCAGAAGTCAAACCCAACAATACGAAGTAGGCAAGCTCTCAGAAAGGGACTGATGAAGAGTAACTTCAAACTAAAAAACAGAAAAAGGGGTAACGAAAAAGAATTTTTTTTAGCTTGTTGGAGCAAAATCGGAAAGAAAATCTTAATTGAGGGAAATACTTGTTCACAGCACAATATATGCATGTTTTTTAGAATCTGTTTCTTATTATTCAGCCAAGTTTCTTGATTAAAAAATTATGAAAGCATAGCCAACAATAATAAGACGTTGATGCGATTTATTCAGAAGAATTGAGAGTCCAAAAAGAGGAGAGTTTATCTTGCAGAGGAGTGGAAGCGCCTAACTGTCTACCTTAGCACTGTCATGATTTGTTTACCTTTAAGTTTTTCCTGTTTAACTCTAGATTCAGTTACTTTCTGCTGTTAAACTGCTATTTTTATGACAAATCTAATTTTAAAGTATGGATTAAAGTGGGAAGTTTAGTATGATAATGATTGATATTTACTGCTGAGGATTCCTCCTCTCTCTGGAAGGACCAGTGGGAGTCTTTGCTGTCTGTAACAGGTTTCCACAAGAGCCAAAACTAATATTAGCCTTTCTCTGTGTTTCTATTCCACTTCCAGGTGACCAAAGATGACTTCATGAGCTTCGAATATATCCTCTGCATGGATGAGAGCAACCTGAGGTACAGTTATTCCAGCTCACAGCGTTGTTTATTTTCCCTTTCCAGCGCGGATTGCAGTTTGACGAAATGCAGGCATTAAAAACACCAGGGTCATTTTTAATGTGTCTCATCTGGCTGTTGGGATCAGAAAACATTTACTCTTAATATGCTTGAGCTATGGTTGTGATCCATGCTGTTTGATCACATTCAAACAAAACTGTGGTAACATTGAGCTATAACTAACTCTTTGCTGAATGCCACTCTTTAATGAGCAGCGGCCTTTCTTAATCTCTTTCCAAAGGTCATGAGGAGGGATATTTTTTTGTTACTTTGAACGTTTAGGGATCATTTTGAGATCACATGCCTATGGCAGATCTGATCCGTAAGCAGCTTACTGAGTTCTTTGGATGCCTTGTCTTTGCCCTTTAGGTGTTTTTTTCCCTTCGTTTTTCCTCCCACATATTTTTATTGCTTGAGAAAGAGTTGACTAACTTTTTAACCTCCTTTTTAGGGCTAAATTTTACTTTATATGTACATTCTCTTGTATTATTTATTTGATATGCTTTTCAGGTAGGATTAATCACATAGATGAGTATTATTAGCAAGTTTGAGTTGAACATTTTTAGTATTGTTGATTCTTGCTATGAATGAGTAACAATTTTTGTTTAACTTTCCAGCGACTTGAAAAGAAAGGCCAATTCAGTGAAAAACTGCAGAGCAAAGATCGAGCTTCTCGGGTCATATGATCCTCAGAACCAGCTGATCATTAAAGACCCATATTATGTAAGTATTCCTACGTCAAATTGAAAATAAAAAAAAAAACACTTGAAAAAAGTCATGCAAAGTCTTGAGAATGGGTGCCATGCACGCACAGGACCTCAGAATCAGTTGTTGATGTAAAACTCCCTCCTATAGATGAAGCCGTCTTAATGTGAGTCTGAGAGTTTTTCATCACTTTGTATTGTTGTGCTGAAAAGTAATTCAACACTTCAAGGGCTAAGAAAACACTGGTGTGTTGCTTCTTCCTTATTATCATACAATCTGAAACAGTCATCAGTCACTCCATGGATTCATACCAGTTAGAACTCAACCAAGCGAAGAAACTGAGAAACTCATATTTCAGTGAGATAATTCTGCTCATGTTACGATAGGATAGCTCTGCGTTGAAAGCACATCCTAAACTGACCACTCATACTGTCTTACGCATTATGGTATTATAACAAAACCTAGTAAGGGCCCCAAGCTGTTGGGAAACTTCACATTCTTTATGAAGCGAGTGTAAAAAAACAACATTTCCACCCATAGAGCACGGGTGTTTGGTGTCAGCAAACATTGATGCTTCTTACATATTTACATATTTCATATAACTACATATTTTGTGACATCCATGTATAAAGAGAAAATTAGATTTTTCTTTTCACCAGATGTGAGTAACAACCCAGGTAATTCATACATAGAAAACAGAAAGAAAAGAAGAATGTAAAATGACACAGGAAACAAATATTGAACTCATAAAACAATGTGAATACCAGAACATTTGTATGTGTGATCATATAGACATTTATAGCCCGTCAAGCCAGACTGACGGGGCATAAGTTAATCTGGTATGGCTCAGGCTCCTTCCGAAAAGTGCGAGTCAGTAAGGATTTGCACTGTTTGGAAGACTTACGCCAAAGTGGAAGTCTATCAGTAATTTTCATTACAAGTGCTAGCTTAAAAGTGGTGGCAGTAAAGCAGACCCTAGGAAGAGAAATCAATGAAAGCTTTAATATTGTTATGCAGTGTTTTTTCTTTAGAAACAACAGCAAATAACAAAAGTAGCTCCACCAATTCCTATTAAAAACTCATTCACTGAAAAATAATAATGTCCCTGCGTTATAGATTCTGAAAGGCCTTGCATCAAAAAATACTGCACAAAATCAGTGCAATGAGTGCAATGCAATACCTCTGCTCCAGACGTCCCCGCCCCCTCTGCAGACGCTCTGCTGCACCTCTTTCAAATTGTAGCTGACAGCAGACAGTGCCGCAGACAGGAGGCGGGCATGTTTTGTTTTTATGACCGAAATTGTGGAAAACAACTCATGAAGTTTGACCGCTAGAAGAGCGAGGTGCGTGAGAACGCTGGGACCCTTTTTCCACCTGGATCCCCGCTCTTTTTGGCCCTCATGTCCCTCCGTCGTCGGACTAAACTCGCCCCCACTTCCTCTTCGTCTCGGCCGTATCTAGACCCACAGTGTATAGCGCAGACCACGCTTCAATATTGAGAATAAATCAAAAATGTCTTTGTCAAGTTTACTGTAACACACTGCTGTAAGAGTATAAGCAGGAAGCGAGGTAGGAGGGCAAAATAGGTTTAGCGCCACCGCAGCACGGGAGGGAGAATTACGTCCAGGAGCAAATGGATAAAAATAGACCGGAGGGAAAAAAACATGAATCGATTCTCTTGCGGACATGTCGATGCATCGGATCGTCGGCTGTTGGATCGATGCATCGATACAAAACAATTATTATGTACACCCCTAGTGCCGACTCCAAGCAATCTTTCTGTCCTTTAACGACCAGAACTCGATTAAACTTAGTTACTTTTTAACTCCTGTTTTATAGTCCTTTTTATATGATTTTACCCAGTTTGAGTTAAGAATAATTATACTATCCACACAATTACCTGATTTTTTCTGATAGTCCAGGCCTAGGCCTGCCTTTGAAACTGGCTTTACCAGCTCCTTTCTAGACTGATTCACTAGATATGTTTCCATTTTTCTATTGCACATTTTGAATAACTGTATTAGAAAGTCTTTATCAAATAAAAAATTTCATTCTCAAAATTTTTTACTCTCACTTAAGTTGACACAAGAGATGAAGATACTTTTTCCGAATCAGCTCTGACGTAGCTAACTTTACTCGCACGGCTGATCAGCTGTTTCTGCTATCAGTGTCTTGCTTGATGTTTTGCTTATCTGTTTTTACATATTTCCATTTATAAATTACTTTAGTTTCTATCCTGGTCAAAACTTCCTGCCAATGGCACATTTAGAAATACATTTACTGTGAAAAAACTGCATTGAATTTAATAAAACAAAAAAACCTGCTGTTCAACTATATGAATTTGACCTAGTTTTACAGCATTGCATGTAAATCTAGGAGAAAAAGCCCTGCTGTTACTCAAACAGTTTCCAACTTTCCACTTTGATTTAGAGTCAAGTAAAAATACTTTCTAAATAAGGGAATTTGTTGGGTTGGGCGACTGCAGAGTTTTTATTGGTTGAGATTAGACTGAACACAGCCGCTCTTGTTTCTGATTAAACATGGTTTAAGCTCAGGTAAAGATAAACAGATGGCACTAAAACATTATCAACCAAATTGTATACATTGCCCTGTGTGCCTTGATTTAAAAGTTGGCTGAAATGATTTGGTGTATAGAGAGAAGGGAAAACATGAGGCAAAGCTCCATGGGTCAGGATTTGATCGTTAATTCCCACCAATTGTTTATGTATGGAAATTTATAATAAGAAAAACATAATGAGACAGATTTGTCTTACTTTCCTCAGATTCATAAGTTCACATACACTAACAATCTTATTCATTAAAAGAATTTGCAATTGCCTAGATAGAGCTGATGTAATTGCTTTCTAAACATCTTTCGTTTGCAGTATTTGAATGAAGGCATAAATGTAGATGTATCTTCTAATGGAAGACTGAAAAGTTTGCACCTCTAAGTTTGATTTATACTCAAGTTTAATTTCCATGTGTTTTAAATTGTGACATTTCTTTGTTCATGAATGTATTTTCATCATGAAAATGTTCAGCTGTTATTTTGGACATATTTGTGTGAAATTTACATATATACTCCTGAGCAGAAGCAAAAAACCTTCTGAAGCTGGTAATAGTGTTATCCACAGTAAACAATATGTCCTCTTATTACTAAAAGTTAATTTTAAAGGAATAAGCCATTACTGCAACACATAAATTATTTAACTCATAAAATCGTAAGGCTGAGAAAACCATCCCCACCACTGAAGTAGCAGGTTTTTAGGGTGTTTCTGCTACCGGAGGGACTGGTGAACTTTACTCAATTTATTACATGATGAGGAAAGAACATCATTTTGAAACAATGAGGCAGCATCTCACATCATTATCCAAAAAATATGAAGGTTAGAGTCAAATAGGTCTCTTAAATGGATGATTTCCACCTTTTTTTTTTACCTCTATACATTTTCAAAGATGCATATATCCGCAAGCAAAACATTTAAATAAAAAATACTCGTAAATGCATGATGATCAGTCTGATGCTCCTTGATTAAATCGTACTTTATATTAAACCTCTGTTTTTGATCTAACAATGAATTTCCAGCTTATTATAAATGTTGAACTGAAATATCTGAAAGAATAATGGCCCCTATTTCACTATTGCTTTTATTGACATTTCAGAATACTGGTTTAGCTTTGTAAAAAATAGGCCTAGCAGGAAATGATGCACATTGAAGCCTTTTGTTTGTCTGTTTGTCTTTGGGTGGACTTAATATGTGTTCAGATGCATGATGGGGTTATAGAGAGAGTTCACAATCCAGAGGGAGAAATGAGATCTTTTCTAAGCATGTTTCATGCAATAATCAGCTCCAAAGCAAAACAGTGCGGACTGTTGTGATAAAACAGATCAATTACTAGTTAAAAAAAAAAAAAAAACATGTCTCACAACCTTTCCAGACCTGTGCTCATTTCATTCGCTTTTCTTACAGAACCGTAATTACTTGGACTGCAACATCAAGTCATTTTCTTTTTTCTTATGTATCCGATTAGTTTGGCTTTTCATGCACCATTGCTGGCTCAAGTCTTTTGTTCTTTACATACTCTCCCTGCAGTGGGAGGCCCAGCCAGATGATTTGGACAAGGTTTCTTGGCTCCTTTTTATCTTTCCTAAGGGTTGTGAATGAGAAAAGGCAGAAGTTGGAGAGGTGCCTAAGGAGAAGTAGTGAAAGGTTTGAGAGCACAAATGGCAGTGATAACATCAGGATAAATTCGTGACTCACTGTATATCTAATGGTTGCTAAATCTTTTGTTTTTCTGAAAGTATTAAGAATTAAATTTTTTTCCTGTGTGGTCTCAGAGAGAGCAGGCTCTGGAGATTTGTGTGTGTATTCCTTCTTTTCTCATCTGCCCTTTTACTTGTCTTGGAACGCCATCCCTAAATAAAACATAATTTCATTAGGGTTTTGGCTGAAGGAAAATAAATATGGCCCAACACTATAAAGGGGCTGACAGTTGTATTCGGTGTGGTTTGAGCATCTCACTTCATCGCATAGTGATCAGGGGCTTTCTAGGTCTGCTTACCAGAACTCCTGATATTTAGTGTGGTTTTACTTTGAATATTTTATCACCATTTAGAACGTGGAGCCTCGCCATCAACCCTCTGTTTTGACCACAAAATGAGACAATGGGTGACTAAATAAATGCAGACATGTGTTTCCTCACTCTACTGGAGGGATGGGGATGCACCTTGGAGCCAAACAGAATGCTTCCTTTTCATCCTCTGTCTTTTGCTCTTTTTATCCTAATTGAGCAATTTTGTTTCATGCCTAAACAGAGTTGTTTAAAGGTTCAAAGAGTTTAATCATGTTCTATGACAATAAATTGAAGCATAACGTTCTTGATTTTTGAGTTGCTAAATTTAACATGGTGTTCTGCCAGATTACTAGATTGCCTGTCAGCAGTGTGATTTATTAAGAAGCATCTAACCAACTCCCTCACTTTATCTGAGAACTGTGTTCTGCTTGAGCAAAAAAAACAAACAAAAAACAAATGTACCCAATATTAAGCAACAATTCTTGTTCACGTTTGTGGTCTGAATTTTCCTCTAACATTCATCATAAAGTGCAAATATTTTGACATCAAAGTAGTTTTCCAATAAATTATCCAAGCTGTGAGAAATATTGCAATGCAGATTAATCCTCAAAGTTTTCCACAATTTGCCACATTACAAGCACAATCTTGGTTAAATTTTAATTTTATTTGACGAATACAAACTCAGCGGCTCTGCAGTGAAAAGCGACATATGAATAAAATTTTTATTTGCAGTTGCAAGTCTTTAAGTGTAGAATAATATTCTTTATTGCGAGGATCATTCAACAGGTCCTTTTAATTCCCAACAATGTAGCATATTCCTTGCATATGGAACTGAACATTAATGGATTAAAAACACATGTTCTTAAAATCTCCAATTGTCGTATTATTTGAACCAGCAATGTTTTAATATGCTAAATATGTGCAAAGAAATCAGCAATGGTTATAGCCTTAACACAGAGTGGTAGGAACGTTCCCCCTCATCTATCTGCTGTGGTCTTTGGTGTTTACGATACTGTTAACTGTTACATAAAAAACTTTAAGACTTCTGGGGAACAGCTGGATTTAAACTGAGGTTATAATAAATTCAATTATGCAGTATATTATAATGATGATCACACTTTCGTCAGTAAAAAAACATGTTTCATCTATTATTTTCTTTCTTACTTAATGTTAATGTGATTCTTTATGTTGTTCTTACCTTTGCAATCCTAGTAAAGGACATTAAAGCTTTTGGTTCTAACATGAGAAAATGTCTAGGTGCAATGATATTACTTCAGAATTATACAGTAATGTCTGTATTTACATTCACACACAGTAGATGGGGTTCAAACAAAAGTTTCCTGTTTTTCTGGAGTGAAAAAACAAAACAGAAACCACCAAGGCATGTGCCAAAACCTCCATGAACTGAACAGTTCAGAGTTTCAGAAACACTCAAGTCTCTTTGGTGTTATGCCAATGTTTGACATATAGGAATGTGTCAGAATTTTAGTGCGGCTTTTCCGCTCAGATAAGCCCCTTAGGATCCGATTTAATTCAGTTTGAAACTTAAAATAAGTTGAAAACAATTTTCTGGGTAAATAGTTTCCATCATTCAAAGTTTTCCCCTATATTTGCAGTAGTGTGGTTGGGTCAATTATTGCCTCTTTAAAGTGATGTAAGTGACCATTTTATCAAGCTTATGTAACTGAAAATGTTTTTTTTTTTCCTTCTATTTTGTCGCTCAGGGAAGTGATGAAGACTTTGAGAAGGTGTATGAACAGTGTCTACGCTGCTGCAAAGCATTCCTGGAGAAGAACTCCTAACAAGATCCCATCATGAAGCACTTATGACTAAATTTAACAGCTGAACACGGTCTACCTTGATACATCTTTACTGTCAGAAAACCAAGTCAATGTATCTGTTCTGCGTCTGTCAATGAAACACCACCACAGCGCTATTCTACAGTATTGTAGATGTTTTAGCAATGACATTAACACACTGCTGCTTCTACAGGTTTATCTGGATCATTAAAGAGAATCATTTACTTCAAAAACTGTTTTACTTGGTCAGAAATCTTTCCTCTCTGTGTGAATTTCTTAACTAGATTTATGTAAAGCCTTAATAAGAAATCTATAGAGCTAAGGAATTGGTGATAAAAAAATATCTTATTTGAAAAGATCCATTTATGAACATGTTTAAATAAAGGAATAACTTCTGTCCTGATTTAGTCTACGCAGCTAACAGTTTGGTTGATAATGGTCACACTTTAAGTTAAACTATTGATAGAAATAAAAGTCTACTTACCATAATAAAAAATACCTGATTTTTAAGATGTTTAAATATTGCATTAGGAATAAATAATTTCAGGACTTTTTTCCACATTTAATCTAATATAAATCCCATCTATTCAGTCAAAACAGATATGTAAGGGAATAAAGTGATACAAAAACAGTATTCCGGTTACATATGTGTTTAAGCTCATAACCAAATGCCTTGTTTTCTTCAGCATCCAAGTCTTTGGTACATACCTACCGTAGATTATACTGGATGTTAATTATGTATTATGTTATGGCCTGGCTCTTGGAACTTAACAAATAAAAGGAAAGCCACACATGGAGGATAACTTAAAATAGGATTTTTTTAACAAAAAACATAAATGGCTGGAGGGGAGAGGAAGAAAGAGCGAGCTGAGCTCCTCTAACCTTGTCCGGTCTGAGCTGAGCTGCTACTGGCTGGGGTTGATCACCTGATTTAGGCTGGAGCGGAGCTTGGGCTGTGGAGCTTGGTTTGGAAGATCGGTGCTCCTTAAGATGGATCTGACGTCAGTCTGGCCAGCTGCCTCCACTTCCATTCAGCACCAATTAGAAGCTCTACACAGGGATGTTAAGGACTCAGGAAAGGCCTTGGGCCGTAATAATTACACAATGACCAATGTGGTGTCCTTGTTTCTCCAAAGGAACTGTTTGCCGTTCAAATCACAAATGCAAATGCTTATTTTATTTCCATGTGAAGTATAAAAAAAAAATCCACTAAGAATGTTGTTTATAATTGCATTTGTAAAAGATTGGTCACTCTGACAAGGATTTTTGTTTCTGCAATAGGATGCATCTTATGTAATATGTCCCATAGTGAAACTTTTACACAAACATACAGTATTCAATATTCAAATGTTTGTGGTATCATAGTTGAAGGGGATGACGAAGTAATGCAAGGTCAAGAAGCTGGGTCAGGGGATCCTGAGCTCCATGGCCAATTTTTGCAGTTTTGACAGACCTCCCATCTTAATATGGAGTTAAATTTAACTCTAAAATAGCATCTAAAGAGGACCTGCCACTAGATTTATCTAAAGTGACAAGATTTTTTTTGGCAGATTTTCAGTGGAGCAACATTTCTCTGATTGTATTTTCAAGTTTGATGCTGTAGAGATGAAAATGTGGGGCTGTTTTTCTTTTTATGAATTTGACTCAACTCCATGGTGAAAATATGCTATGCTTCCCTCTTTCTGGGAACAATTTGGGAATGGCTCATTCTAATTCCAACATAACTGCAGCATTGTACATCAGATGGTCTATGAAGACAAGAATAAGAGGTTGGTGTGGAAGAGTGTACCTTGTTTGCAGAGAGTCCCAAAAAAAAATCATAGAACACCTCTGGGATAAATAAGAGCGGCAAATGTAAACCAGGACTCATCCAACATCAGTGTGTGACCTTACAGATAAGCTTCTGGAATAATAGTCTAAAGTTACAATAACCTTATTGCTAAACCCTTGTTGAAAGTTTTTCTAGAATATTTATAAGTGTTATATGGATTTATAAAGAGATGTGTTTGAAATATGGGTATGCTTGCAAAGAAGCAAATCTATTTACTGGTGGGCTTGTTTTTCTATGTACCCTAGACTGTGCTGCCCTGGGATGTCAGCTTTATTGTCCATGTCTATCACCACTAAATATGTTTGTGATTTGCCTTATGCTTCTGTAATCCAAGTAGGCTTATTAAAACAAATGTTTATTATATTCCTGTTTTTGACTGTAAAGATGTTTTTGTTCTCATCTTTGTTGTTTACTGACATAGTTTTTCTACTGTGTGCCAGTCACTGGTTATTCAGGACATCCCACATCTTTGCACTACCAGCACAGATGACTTATTAGCTTTCTTATGGTAGACTTAGGATTTCATCACAGTTGGAGATGGGAAAACGGCTGTAAATCATTAAACATGGGTGGGGTTCAAGAAAAGATGAACCATCTGCTTACTGGAGGGTTTCCATGCGTTGAGGAATGTAATTTCAGAGAAGTCTGTGAATCTGTCATGTTAATCTTGGCAAAAAGAAATGTCTAATCAAACGCATTTTTTTAATATTCATTTATAGATTAGCGCAATTATCTGACATTTCGATCAGTATGATACTGTGTTAAAACAATTTCAAGGTTTTTTTTTAGGAAATGTGGCACACTGTGGAGAGTGAAACTTCGAGGAGGAATCAAGTAACCTTTTTGTGCACCAGCCAGCCAGGTGTTGTAAATTACTGCCAACGCCATCCAAAAACTATTAGAGGAAATGTTTTAACATGAACACCACTCTTTGTAAGATGAGCCTAAGGCCACCACAGGTGCTAGGTGTTTTTAATAAATTTCACAATGGGTATATCTTTGCTTGAAATATTTTCATCTGACAGCTGTTGACAGCATGTCATGGCTTTGTTAGCACAGAAAAAAATGTTTTTGTATCTTTTTTTTTTTTTACATTTGCTTTTTTTCAACATTGAGGGTCATGTGTTCTAGTGTTTTGTCCCCTTACAACTAGGATAAATGGGTTTCAAACTATTTTGCAAATAAAAATGTGTGGTCTTTATTTGTATCCAGACCCTAAATTCGTGGCATACACCATGTGTGATTTCTAATGTTACTTCAAAAAAAAAAAAACTGCTGTGTGGAGGCCTCTGATGTTTTTTAGAATATCTAAAGCTTTGGAGATGTCACGGAGTTCTTTTAAATGTATAATAAAAATGAGGAGTTAGGCATCATTGCAAATTAACCAGGACCGCTGGCGTTCCTATCAGGAGAGGCCTGTCGACAACTATCGCGCACAAATAGGACTTCTGGCATAAAGAAAGCCAGAAGTCCTGTTTGAAGTTTCTTATAAGCCTGGTCGAGGACAGAACAACCTTGTACTCTGTGGCCTAGATGCAAGTATTAAGTTAACACTCCACATTTTCCTTACATGATGGCCAAAGTCATACACGGAGGTGGCAACATCATCCAGTGGGATTCATTCCTCCAGTGAGGACAAAGAACCAAGTCAAAGTTAATGGGACAACACAGAGATAGATAGATACAGGATATACTTGAAACAAGCTCTATGTTGCTATGAAAGACAAGAGATGCAAGTTCACGTTCCAGCCGGAGAATGACCCGAAACATAAAGCTGCAGCCGCAATGGCAGACATTTTCAAAGCATATTAACTTACTGAGAATTTAAAGAAATAATTTCAAAGGGATGTTCATTAACTTTCTCTGTCTAGTCTAACTTTTCCTTAGAAAAACATACAAAAAAATCCAATCTTTAGATAAAGACTGGTGGACACATACCACATAGACTTCTAGCTGTAATGGCAGTGAAATCTGCAGTTTTTACTAATTGATTCAGTGGATGAATTTCAGGCATTCGCCCTCTCTGCATAGCAAAGGGCTGTAGGCTGCAGTCTGCACTGGAACCTGGTGGTAGAACTTGGGATGAACTCAGTAGAAGTGGACCATCACTATTTTTTGCAGGCTGAACTTCTTCAGATGGCATAGGAAATACATCCTGTGCAGTTCCTGTGAGGTGGAGGTGATTTTCAGCTCCCACTTGAGATACAATAACCCTAAATTAAACCATTACCAGTGCATACCTAATCCTAATTCAACCCACAAAACACCTTAGCTTAAACCTAACCTTTAACAAAATAGCTCATTAGGACCAGCCAAAATGTCCTCTCTTTGTAAAAATGTCCTCATTCCAAAGATTAAAAACTAAAACTCACTTATTCTAGAACCGGGGCACACATACACTCACTTACCCGCTCACTCTCTCACTCTAATTGAAAGTCCAATCTCACTCCTGTAGGTGAAATCATCCCCCAGAGATGAGCCTAATGAGGGGAGGTGTTGATGTGTTCTGGGTGAAGAGCAGGTGGAAAGAACACGTGCTGAGTTCAGTTATCGTTGGAGCTCCACTTAAAGAGGTTAGAGTGGTATAATCACTGAGGTCAATTTTTTTCAGTTTCCTGCCAGTGGACCTTTGTATTCTCTATGGCCACCATGGCAACGGTTACAACCTCAGCAATAATAAAAACATTGTTCTTCGCAGTATTCTGTGCCCATAATCACCATCTACTAAAGACAAGTCATACCTGAAGTGACTTAATGCTACGTGCGTAATGACAACAATACAAATGATAAAAGTATGGCATCCACTCAGATACCATCCTGTTGCACTGATTTCTGACTTGTAATTTTAACTTGGTTTTTCTACTTAAAATGTCTGACTTGGAAGTTGGAGTTTCCATCTTCCAATGACAAATGAAATGCACCAACAGCCTGGTTCTGATGGTCCAGGAATCCGATATGTTTTCCTGCTTCACATCGTGCTTCCTGTCTGTCAGGAGGACGGTGATCCAGCGCTCATCCTGCAGCAGGGCTGGGACACTTGTTGAGCACAGCATAAGTCCATAAACATGATACTGGTGCAGGTTCCTGTGGAGTCCAATTGCAGCTTCATATAGTGAAGGACTATGTTTATTGCAACCTCCACAGATTCACTGGCTCTGTTGGCAAATTGCATTGGATTCAGAAATTAGTCTGTGATGGAGTTAAGATAGGGCAACATGCAGAAACACCTGCGCACACAACATGGCATACATTTTAACAAATGCTATGTTTTTGATGCTTTCAGACAGAAGCTGAAGTTACGACCAGCATGGAAGGCAACTCTGGTGGTATGTAGCTAGTTTTATTTCACTGGCTGTGCTTAATGTGGTTCCTAGTAAATCCTATGCCAATTCTGGGAATAAACCAATTTGCTACCTCTCTGGGGTTATTAAGGGAGTGTGCCTTTCTTGTTAATCCAGCCCTTCATTGCTAGCATGTTTAATTAGAACTTCTGGTAGCTGGAATTATTTCATGATTCTAGCTATTGCAATGGATGTAACGAAACATGCTACAAAGTTTCTCTGTAGTTCAGGGAGCGAGAGAAAGGTGACAATCTTTTATTTAAATCAGGGGGAGATGAGTTTATTTCCCGAATTGTACAGTAATGCTTTTTCATTAAACGGATGCCTTCTCCATTAGGTTTAGATGACTGTGACGAGCAGGGTAGCCTGGCTGGCTGGCAGCTCCAGTTCACTGCCTTCTGTTTTCGCCGAGGCAGGCAGAAATAGAATGTCCCAGGCAAAGGTAGACGAATGTCGTCGTGCACTTACCTTTCACAGAATCAATAAGAGAATCGATAAAGAATCAAATCGTTTCACAGAATCGATAAGGGAATCGGAAAATGTGAAAGTCTGATCAATTCCCAACCCTAAACATGATGGACTGAGGTTTTAATCAATGTGTTGCAATCAGGCCCAGTTGTCCTGACTGATCATGTCAGCTATTTTTAGCAATAGTTCATGTCATCTAGAGACATCGAGAGAGGAATGTTTTCTAATGCTGCATTCTGGGTGCCAGCAGCATCAGAAACAGCCGATTAGCCATGAGAGGTAAATGTTTGCTACGTCAAAACATATGAAGAAAAATGTATTTCTATGTCTTCTTTAGCATATTTATGCTTTTCAAGTCAACATCCACCTCAACCAAGCATTAAAACCATTTGTGCAAAATCCACTAAGTTTATCCTAATTTTCTTGTCTCCATCAAGCTCTTCTAAAGCAATACTTAAAAATGCACATAATAAAGGACACATCTTTTGATTAAAGCCGCTAAGCTTCTCATTCCTCACTACACCTCGATCACAATGATATGAACAAGCCCAAGATCTTTGGCTGTAAACTTTGGTTTACGGCCAAAGTCACACAGACTTTGGCCGTAAACCAGGGTTTATCATTGTTGTAAATTACCCTGGTTTGTGTTGGTATAAGATGATGTAAGACATCACAGATTCTGTGAACTCATCTAGGCTGTTGGTAGCAGTTCTGGAAACGTTACAGTCAGAGCAGTCCAAACACACATGAAGATCCTGAACAGTGTTGCTGGTCTGCTTCTTTGATGTCTTCACAGGGTTACAGAGCTTTAAGGAGATCCTCCTGCACAGTCAAGTCTTTTACAGCCTCTAAGAGGTTTTCATTAGAGGTTTTCATTGGAGGCTACTCTGTGCTCTGTTTAGTTCTAACAAGCTTATTATTAATACTGTGAAGTATATTTTCCCTTCTCCATTGATAAAGAAAAGTATCCCAAAAGTATGATGAGTCCCTGAGGTGGAGTGATTAAGGGTCTAATCGTAAATGAAAGAACAACATCAAAAGGCCAAATAGTTGGGTAGCTTTAAAAGTACCACAGTTTGTTTCTCAACTTAGTCTTAACCGTATGTGTCAAACTAATTCTGGTCCATACCAAACAATCTCGGGTGTGAATCACTTCAGGTATGACTACAAGCCAGGCTTGGTATGACCCAAATATAGAAAGTACCATAGTATTAAACATAATATGAAAATTATACCTGTTTCACTATCGGTTGCTTAACAATTCTGCTTCCAATAAGCAGGAAGCATTCTCCAACATCACAAAATTCTAAGTAAAACTTCTTTCTACTTTAGAAAAAAAATGCAAAGTACATTTTTGTGAACTAAACATTAAAGTAGACACCCATCTTAGCACTCACGATGGTTTTGCAACAGTGACGACAGCATAAATATGCAAAATAGAGGTGCGTTCCTGTTTTAGTAGTTTCACTCCATTTTCTTGTCTGTGTGGGCTTGTTGTGAGTTATCGTCCACTTGCAAAGAAGTACAATCTGAACATGAACCAAACCTAATGAAAAAAAAGTCTGCTTTTGATCTGGAACAAACAACCAGACCGTTTCCAGGCCCAAAGCACTAAAGATTGATTTCTGATCAGAACACCTCCTGTCCCATGTGTCCTGTTAAATCTTAAAGAGCTGACGATGAACTTGGTAAACTTCCTACAACATTGTCTTCCTCTTACCGTTCTTACAACAAGATCAGATGTCGAGTGATAAACTTATAGTTGCCCTTTCAAGTTACCAGCAGCATCTTAGCTGCTTCTTCCCTTATAATCTTAGCTATCAGATGATAGATGTATATACAGAGTTTTGGGTATTGTTTTATACGCTGTTTTAGTCTTCTCCACGGCTTTGCTGATCGGTTTATTGAGTTCCAAGGTCTTCATGATGTTGCTCGTTTTCCATTACCTCTAACAAACCTTCAGGCCTTCACAGAAGAGCTGGATTTATGCAAAAATTAAACTTCATAGATGGATTCTATTTACCAACAAAGATACTCCTGCTTATACTTGCAACAGATCTTATTTAGGGCATCAGAGATGGAAAAACAGATCTAGACCACACCTGTCAGATTTGTTATTTTCTTTAATAACTGCCTTGTCCAACTCCAGCCTGCATTGTTTTACGCAAATGATCTACCAGTTTGTTAACCAGGCAGTTGAAGGCTTAAAACTCTGTATCACTTTCCTTCAACTTTCCATTTATGTGATACTTTGTCTTGGTTTTTCGCTCAAGACGACCCAACAAAACATTGACTGAAGCTTGTGTTTTTTTTTTAAGGCACTGCATATAAAGAGAAGCGGCTGTGTGTGAGTGACTATAGAGTGCTCGGTTGTATCTAAGTGCAATAAAACATGGAGAATTATGCTCACTCAGTCTGGAAAGTGATCACATAAAAGTGATTTTGCAACACTATTTCAAACGTTAAAAGAAGAAGAAAAAAATTTCCACTGCTCTTGAGTTTGAACTTTTTTAGTATCTTTGTCTGGAGCAGCAGTGGGAATTTCACCAGATCAGCTGTCCCAGGGCTCAATCCAGTCATGCGCTCAGGCAACATTCCTCATTTTAAGATCGGAACACAAAAGAAAACACTGAACAGCATGACCACGACTCATTTTTGTACCAATCTCATAATTTATTTAAATATATCTCATTTTTTAAATATATATAGATATACACTTTTATATATTTAACACCTCTTTTGCTAAATACCAGCCAAGTCATTTATGGTGGATTCCTTCCCGTTGTTTAGCATATGTACATTACACTCCTGGTTGAACAGATCATGACTTATACATTCTGTAATCTTAAGCCTTTTGATGACTGAAATACATAAACATAGGCTTCAACACCCCTTATCCAGGGTTAGTCTGTCCACAGTTTGGCTGTAGCTTGCAGCCACCACTTGTGCTTTTGTTTTGCAGGAAAACATTCATGCACTGATTTAACAACAGTTCATTCTGAGCACAAGGGGACCACACCAGGGGAACTTCTGTTTTAGGTCAAGTTAGTACAGTAAGAGGATCAAAGTCAACCTAAAACAGTCAAAATGGGCAAAATGTCTCAAAAGGAAAGCATTTCTTGATTTATCTTTTTTTTTCTTCCATTTGCTTAAACAACATTCTTTTGAAATCCTGTTGGAGAGGAAAAGCCCCCGCTTTGCTCATCTTTGCTAGTTTCAACTCTTTGCACTCCACTGTCTTTATCCTGGTCTGTTTTTTTCTTGCTTGTTGCTCCCGTTTAATGACAGCTAACCTTCGAGGCCCAGCCAAAGTTGTGATTGGAAGCAATTTTCACCTCAGCAGAAGGGGACGTGGGTGAAGCAAAAACCCTGTGCCTAAAGTCAGTCAGGCGGATCAGATTTAAGCTTCCCTCTCATCGTCCAAGGCACCTTTTACCAAAGTATTTTTTTTTTTTTGTATCTCTGCTTCTGAAGTACTTTTGATTTACTTCAACCTGCAAAACCAAAAGGAAAAGGGAAATGTCAGCATGGTCTTCAATCAGGCAACAAAGAATTACAAATGATAAATCAAGAAACTTTATATGCCTCAGCACTGACACTCTGACAGTGCCAACACAAGGGCCTCTGTATGTTGATACAGCCAGCACTAAGAACAAATGTTGAGCAGCATGGTCTACACTCTGAACTCGGGCCTGATTCATGCTGAGCTTTATGAGTCTCGACTGATTATGATCATTTGCTGTTTATAAGTATCTGGCACAGCGGTAATAAACCACACTTACGAGGAAAAGCCACAGTTTTAGGTATGTTCTAGACCACAATAAAGCTCTGCACAGAAAAACATAGTTGACTTTGATCCATTCTACTTTTACAAGTTCTCAACTTTGTTTTAAAGCATTTTAGTTCTGCCAACATCATATGTTACTCAAGACATTTGGGAATTATAGTATTTAGGTAAGTGTGCAAAGTAAAAACAAAAATTACAAATAGTCTGATCATGAATGAAGCTAACATGTAAAAATTGACATCTGAGCAGAGCTCGACCAAGATTACATGGGGTCCAGAGCAGCACTTTGATTTGGTGCTGGAAATTACAGCTTGCCTTTTCTAGACTTAGACAGATTTTATTTAGTCATTTTTACACACAAGTGTATACAAAAAGAAATTTCATTTAGTACAGCTCTCTAGATTTTTTCATTTTCATTTAGTATAAATCTCATTATTTAATTTAATTTTTTATTTTCATTAAATTTTGGTATAAATCAGTTGAATATATAAATTATGCTTTGAGTAGTTGGTAGTTTGTTAAGCAGACACAAGAAGCAGGATAATTAAGCTGTTGAAATTAAATGATGGTCAAACTATGGATATTTCCTTGTTAAAATACATAGATTGTTTTTACTTTTTTCTTTTACATATAACTAAATTCAAGGTTTTAAGTTCTGTGTGAGAACCCTTGGAGCCCTAAGCAGCAGTGGCTATGTTTGCTTATGCCTTAGGTCAGCTATGTGTGTGAGTTGAAGCATCCTAGTACCTTTTGAGTGTGTGTCTGCTACCCCTCTGTGCACTGTGGGCTGCCTGCAAGCCGTGAGAGAAGTCGCGCACATCTTTTGAAGTCTGAGAGAAAGAAAACACAAAGAGAGAGACAGTGAGCGCTTTCTTTTCATGCACAATGTTGATATTGGATGGGGATAGCTTTCCCTCCTGACGCAGAAGATCCAAAGCAACTGTGGCTTACATGCAGGTAACGTGCAGTCTCTGGTGTGGTGATAAAGTCTGTATGCATTCTTCCTGCACTTGGAGCTGAACGTGATTGGACCTGGAAGAGAAGGAGAGAAAGCGGTCTTTGAGCACATTTTTTTCACGAGCCCCTCCATCAACATCTGTTTAATTAAGCTACTTTCATCTATATTTGCTCATAAAATTGGTGCCACCAACAGGGTCATCAGTGAGAAGAAGGCAAAACTGGGATCAACGGCATTTAAGACAAATTTTGATACATATACATCCTAAGCAGGATTAATGGGTAATTGTATTTTAACCAGACACAAACATTAGGTTCTGCTATAGTAACACTCCTATTCAAAGCTCCTGAAAGTAATTTTCTAATGTATGGCAAGCCATAAGGGCTAAATATTGACCCTTTGGGTAATAACATTTTATAAAATTTACATTTCATTAGCAAGGTTGCTGCATTTCACATCAGTGATTTGGCTTTAAATGCCTCTATTAGAGCATGGATAAAAAAAGAAATACGTTTGATGAGCTTTTTGAAAAATGGCATTCAAGGACCTGAAATAATGCTATTTTCATCCGTCCTTAAGAGTCAAAGTACCATCTTTTGACATTGCTCATTAGTGACTGCCTGGTTGTTGACGGGTCAAAATGTATCATTTCCTAGCTAGAGATCTTGCTGTTTTATTTAAAAAAAATAATAAATTAACAATAATGACAAAATAATTTGGTATTGGTTTTATCATGTGATGTAGCTTACAGTAAACATGGTTATAAGCACCAGAAAATATCTGTTTATCGACTATTGCATGTCTTTGTGTTTTTAAGCAGCAAAATACACACCTTCATAAACAGAGTTTTCATTCAAGCTGCTTGACATGAAAAAGCCTTTCTGTTTTCAATGAATGTACAATATTCTCCTTTCATGACCTTCGACTTTTAAATCATCTCTTTACCGAACATGTTGGTATTTTAAAAAATTGATACGCCTTACAGGGATGCCTTCAAAAATAGCCTGGCCAGTCAGAGTGACTCAGCTGTATCAGTCTGGGAAAGAATAAATAGAGCCAGATTTTAAACATTGGACCTATAGAGTCCGCCAAAACAGGTAAACACCAATCACATAACGTTGGATGTTGTGCAAAGTTGCCTTCAAAAAAAAAAAGAAAAGCTACAACATCCAGTTGTTGAAGGTTGAAAGATAAATCCAACTCATTCGGGAAATGATAAAGAATATAATGAAAACGTTTTGTCTGCAATGTTGACAGTTAATGTAACAGTATAGTGCAGTTGCTTTATGGGTAAGCATAAAATCCTGCTTCCTGCACTGTGATTTGTCTGGTCTGTTTGAAACTATTAAATAGTCTTGAGCCTTTCCAGACTGACTGATGTCCAGTGTCTCAGTCTGGGTGGCCAGATGGGGGCAGCAGCAGAGTCTAAACCGGAAGCTATACTTTGAGTTATATAGTTTAAGATTAATATTTAACAGGAAGTGCCAATGTTTAACACAAATGGCTTGCCATACCCTGAAAAATCATTGTCACAAAAACTTTTAATCAACCTCTTACCTGTGAAATATTTAATAATTCTCTCTTTCATTTTAAAATCTGCGGGGGATAAGGCTGCAGAAAGAGAAAAAGAGCAAAAATGGTACACAGTAAGTAAATTAAATGACATCAGAAAAAAAATGTGGTGTTTTACACCATAATGTTATTATTATTATATTTATTTTAAATGAGATGCAGCTGTCAATTCCACCTTCAGGTGTCATCCACTTACCCAGAGCCTGGTTCCCTTTGTCTGTCTTGCTTCGGACATCCCTCTGCTCCACCGACGCGCTCCCCACCGCCCGCGGTGTCAGCGGGGCTTCTGTCCTCGCGGCGTGTCGCCCCCGACTCTCCCCCACGTGCTTCATGATCGCTATCATCCGCCTGAAGCCCCGCTGCGCGTCCCCAGCGGCCCCAACTGTCGGCGCGCTTTGGGCGCAGTGCTCGGTCAGAGCGCACAGCAGCAGCAGCAGTCCCATAATAACGGGTTTGCGCGGTGTGCTCATAGCTCCAGTGTAGTGAGGAAAGGTGAAAGGTGGATGTAAGTGAGAGAAAGGGAATCCTTTTCTTTTTGGACACCTGAAGAAGGAAATTAAGGAGCAGTTTTAAATGTTGTTGCGCTTAGAAAGTTAATTAATAAAAGGCAGTAAAAGCAGAATTATAGGACTGTGAGAAACTAACACTCACATTGACAAGACGACTTCAAATAAAGTAGCAATATTTAATAAAAGTCTATGCTTCTTATTGTGCAGTTAATTAAAAAAATAAATGCATTCTAAACTATTAGTATTTTCTTACCTTAATCGCGTCTGGTGCGTCCAGCCAAATCGATGCACATGGGTGCAACTTTATTTATTTTGCGTTTTCTCTGGGTTCCAAACTGTTCAGCTTTTGAAAACCTCGACTCCTATTCTTGAAAAAAAAAAAAAAAAAAGTAAAGAAACTGAAGATGAATCGGTGAGGATCGGTAATCAGCCTCCAGACGCGGCACGCAGAGAGCAAAAACAAGGCACAGAAATTATCCGGTGTGGCGCTCCAAGTTCCAACTTCCAAGTTTGCCCTCTGTCAGTCCCTTTTTATTCTATCTCCCCGACGGCGGGGGGAACTGTCCCCTGTGTACTACTCCAACAGATTATGTGGTAATTATGGGAAGCATTACCTGAAGAGGAGAGTTAACAAGAGTTGTCCGACCATTCACTGAACACTGTCAAGTTTACTGAGGCCCCCTCCCTCTCCTCCTTTCCGTTACTCCATTTATCTGTGCGATATACGCGGTTACAGGAAGCGTCTGTCCTCCAGTAATACTTCCACTGAATTTTCCAATCAGCCCAGCGTCCAGCTCAGATGCTGTGCATCTCAGTGGAAACGCAGCAATACCCTTCTTGGGATCCTCATAACCTCATTTAGAGCCATTGCGCGCTTTACATCCATCATGGAAAATTGAAACCCAATTATGCACCTTTTAGGGACCGATTCTTCGAAAATTGATTGTTTTGTTTTAAATCGGTGGTCATTTGTTTCAAGTCAGTGCAGCCTGTTGAAGTTTGTCCTCGCTGGAAGATTGGCTTGCTCTGGCCTGCTGCTGGGGCTGGAACAGCTTTCTTAAAAGTTGGGGCGTGCAAGAGGCTCCCACGCCCACCACTTCAAATCCCAAACCAGGGGGGGGGGGGGGCATATCTTTAAAAATAATAAACACTCATTCATGTCAGCTTCAGGTTCTATTGGCAAAGCAGGGTTCCGAAAGTTTAACCTCAGCGTATACTTGTCATATTTATGAAACGTGCCTTATTTGGCTCATAGTTTGCTATTTTTTTGGTCATAATCGGATTTTAGTGTTGTGGTCACAGCCTGGTTACTTCACCTCAAAGCTCCCCTGGGAAACGACCTTGCAGCCCTGCTTAATAGAATAACACCTCGGTGCTGAAAAGACAGCGCACTGTCGCCGTTCACCAAACTTCTTTATTGAACAAAGCCACTCTGTGTGCTCTTTAGCATTCCTGGCCAAGGGCATCTACGTTTTTAAAGGGCTAGCCAGTGGTGTAGTGATGGGTGGTGAGCATATACACTATACAAAAAAGATGACAAAAGTATCAAATAGATAAAAGAAATCTATGATTTCAGTCAGGAAGTGTCAGCAGATTTTTACTATGGGGTCTTCATATATGAGAGGAACAGGGGTTAGGGAATTGAAAGCATTTTTCAGTTTTAAGTCTTATCACATACCTCACATAGAATGCTAAAATAAGGAAAGTAACTTTGGAGATGGTTGTGCCTGAAATGTCCAGTAGATCTGCAGCTTCTGAAGCATTCAGACCAGCCTATTAGACCACCTTTAGGCTAGATCCCGAAAGATATGAGTTGCTGCCACATGATTAGGTGATTGTCTATTTCTGTTTTTGGAAAATAGATAGATAGATAGATAGATAGATAGATAGATAGATAGATAGATAGATAGATAGATAGATAGATAGATAGATAGATAGATAGATAGATAGATAGATAGATAGATAGATAGATAGATAGATAGATAGATAGATAGATAGATAGATAGATAGATAGATAGATTGATTGATTTAAAACGTGCACTTTCATTTCAGCCTAAGGACACAAATATCAGGAGAAATCCATAGGAGGAGGTTGGCAGTTTCAGCAGGGGGCGTCATTCTGCAGTTGCTGCACATTGGAATTCTGCACATCTGTGCACTAAGCCAGCAGGTTTGGAGGGAATTTGAATATTTCCATACAAATGGATAATCAAAGTGCCATCATAAAAATAAGAAAAACAAACTATGAGATCAATTTTCCCCAAAGGATGCATGTCTGTTTTGTTGATCATGCTTTACAACTATTCTAACATATTCCCCTCACTATCAGATACAGCACAGGTTTGGGATTATAAAGATGAACAAAGCAAACAAGAGCTGGAACTTTGGTCTGATCATAATAGCTATATTATGGGGTACTTTGATCACAACTAAAGGCAAAGTTCATGATTTCATGGAATTCTGAGTGAATGAAAAGAGAAAATAACAGTCTTCTAACCATACATGTTGCCTGCAGTTCACCACTGCTGAGAAAGTATAGAAATCCTATCTTCTACTCATTATATTCAAAACTCAGGGTCCAATTTTTATAAATAGCAGAGGTATCAAATACTTCAAAAATAATATCAGACTATATCAATTCCACAAGAGTGGAGCTGAACTGTTTCAGCAGCAGGACAGAGTAAAGAGTACATCTCTATGAAGATAATAAAAAAAAAAAAAAAAAAAAGGACACATAGGGGAAGTAAAAAAAAAATGCTATTGTCTAAAACAAAGTTACACAGATGTACCCCCTGTATGCACAAGTTACCTCGCTTAACCTCCTTAATAACATGGATCAGCTTTCCTTAGTGATCACATGTGAAACAATGTGCACTGCCATGTTCCAATTAGTGACTCAGGCTCATGTGAGTTTAGAGGAACCATGGATGCTAAAACTTCCCAGATGCTTTATACTGCTTTTACCTCTTTCAACAGACTGACTATGACACTTTCCATTTCCAAGTGACCTCTGCAGTTTAACTGCTGTATCATAAGAGGATGTCATCATCATCCCAAGAACACCGTTGCTTCTTGTCCAAGTTACTGACTTTAAGAAAAAAAGAGGATCCTAAATGTAAAAAAATATTTTTTTCCCCCATTTGTGGGTGTTAGCTAATGAGGCTGACTTTCAAAGTGAACTCTAGGCCTGAACATGCAATTGTATGGAAAACAAAAAAAATATGTACTTTTAGTTTCTCAAAGGATTTGGGGTTTCATTTAAAAAAAATGAACATCTGTGGAAAGAATGCATTTTTTCATTTATATATTTCTTTTTTTCTTCTTTTTTTTTAAATCTGGATGGGAATCACTTAAAATTACTGTGGAATGTAATAGCTGCGTAAAAAGTTTGTTTAACAGGTTAACCTATACCTATCATCAGCAGAAATGGCATTAGGTATTTTAATTACTGGTTCTAAGTTATGTGTTTTATGGTGGTCTAATATTATAAATAAAATGTCACTGATTTCTTGAATCAAGACATTGGGTGGTGGACCACCCTCCTCTGGGTCAAAGGTTAGTCAAGGTGAGGAATTTAAGTGTCTTGATGTTTTGTTTACCAATGATGGAAGATGGTGGTGGATGTACAAACTGAGGGTTCATCTAGACAATGCAACCTTACAATCCAGACAGAATGAATACCCTTTGCAATCTGCATAGAACACATATGCTTCTACTGCGTTGTGTAAAGTATTTTATCTTCCTTATGGCCCCTCCAGTGCCCCATGTTCTCAGAAATCATAAATTCCATTCATATTTTGTTTTCTTCCAGACTCAAGTTAAAACATCATTTACACTTCATCATAAGCATTTAGTTCACCAGCTTCTAGAGGCCATAGTTAGGCTGTTTTATTAATTTGAAAACAAGTTATGAGGTTGTCTGCAAAAAGCAAAGCATGCTTTGCTTTTTGCAGCAAACCCTGGTAAGCTCTTTAGGAAATTAGCTAAAGAGGTTATTTTTTATTTTCTTTATGGTATAATTTTTTCCCGGCATATATTTGGCTGTTACACGGATTACAAAACAAAAAATTAAGTTAATCTGTCATGGTCTGCCCTGATAGCTGCCATTAATTGTTCATGTAATTCACCTGCTTAATCCTGCCGGGCTCCTAATTATCACCCATCTAATCCACCTGCTGGTTCTGCTTTATATTCGGCTCAGCCCAGCTATCGTGGCCAGGTCATTCTGTTTGTCTCATGCCTGTATGTTTCATTAGTTTTAGTTATTTCAAAGGTTTGTGTCCTTGTTCTTGGTGGCCAGTGGATTTAGAGGGTTTTAGTGTTTGTCCTGTCTATTGATTGTGTCCTGGTCCTTCTCCATAAAGCCCTCAGGGTTTTGGCTCGGAACGCGGGGAAGGTCAGTTTTATACCCGTAAGCATAGCTCCTGAGAGGAGAATGGTTTAAAGTCCTGCAGAAATCCTGATACGCTCTGTGGATTCATATTTCCATCTGTCCCTGTGTGGATTGGAACCCTGCTCGAGCTAAGGACTCCTGGATCTCAGAACTGTCCTTGTTCTGGATAGTTTCCCTGACCTGGCTTAAGCTTCCGCCGATTCCACGGAGGCTGCTGCATTGGGAACACTCTGGGCGACTCTGTGCTGTATCTAGTTGGCTGTCCATTGGGTGGATCCTGCCCCGCTCTAAGGAGATGAACTGTTAAACCAGGTGAATGACTCACACAGATTATCATCTTCAGTCAGATGATCATGGTCACTTACCTGTGTTTCTCCCTCCAGAGGGTGTCAATGATCGGTTGCACCCTGCCCCTGCAGGCGCTGGCGGTCCACAGCTCCACAGTTACGTGCTTTTGTTCTGTTTCAGTTTGTTTGTTTTAATAAACCTTTTTTACTTTCCTACTGACTGTCTAATCTTGAATACTGGGTCCATCTGTCCCACTTATGACATAATCGGTCAAGCCTTTACTGTATGGGGTCAAAGAAGACACCATAATCATTATACCATAATTATTATACCTGTTGCACAAAAATGT